AGAACAATAAAAGAGAAGGATAGAGTGAAGAAACCTCGAGGACGCAAGCTTTAGATTATTTTTCTTGAAAAATAAGGTGCATTGTAGCGGCCGCCCGCTCTTACTGGCGTTGAATTCTCTCTCAGCACAGCTATAAAAAGCTCTCTTTAACACTCGGGAAACTCCGAAAATGCTTCGGAGGAGCGGCTAGGAGGAAGAATTTTGAAAGTTGCAAGAGGAAAGGTGGAAGAGACTATGTGAAATGAAGGAGAGAGCGCCTATTTATAGGGATTCGCGCTGTCGGAGTCGGAACGACGGTCTCACTGCATTCGGAGCGGCGGTCCCAACTTTGATAAGTGGCGATGCGGCGGTCTCGGCTTGCCAAATGGTGAGAGGGAGCCATCTCGCCAAAGCGGGAGGTGGGTCTCACCAATGGTAAGTGGCGGGACGGCCATCTCGCCAAGCAAGACGGTGCGTCTCGACTTACCATTGGTCGAGACGGCGGTCTTAAAAAGAGCGGAGCCGGCGGTCTCCCAGCCCACAGAGCGAGGAAACCTTATTTTTTGTACAAGAAAGCCTTCCACCACTCTAATATGGGGCCTAATAGTCTCTCCTAGTTGCTTTTTAGGCTTTGTCCATCTTCGAATGGGAGGTCGTCTTGTCCTTATTTTGGTTGTCTGGTATGTTTAATGTTTTTGTTTAGCTGTGACAGACAAAACGAGGTTATTACAAGAGCTTTAAAGGAAATTTTGATCATCATCAAAAAGGGGAGATTGTTGAAACATACAAGGATATGAATGTTGAACATACATGGTTATGAAGCTTGTAGATTTTGATGATGATTCAAGAATAAAGGACTTAAAGATTTGAAGACTTGTAATGTTATGTAATAACCTTGTTTTTATGATTTTGAGTCTGTAATATTAGAGTCTCAGATAGCCAGCACATAGTCTACTCTTTAAAGGATCTAAAAACTCATTTTCATCAAAAACATATTGGATTAATCGATTAAATGGAAGTATAATCGATTATTATAGAGAGAAAAACCATTTTTTGTATCAGCTCAATGGAATAATCGATTAAAGCCCCTGTTAATCGATTAACAGGGCTGTTAATCGATTAATTGCTCAGATAATCGATTAAACTGCGTGGATTTGGGTTCCAGGTGAATTTGGCTCTGTAATAATCGATTAACACTCAAGATAATCGATTATTTCAGTCAGATATGTGTTTTGAATTTCAAAATTGGACCAAGTTTCGAAAACCCTATTCCCAATTAACCAGG